ATCAACAGCTACAAGGTGCAAGAATACAAGGACTACTCGCAACCGCTCCACGTGGATTGTAGCGTCGAGTACGAGCTCCCGAGCCAGGCGAAGCCACCGCCCGGTGGCGGCGAACCCCTCCTAATGATCCATCCGTGCTACTATCGACGCGCCGAGCGCGAGAGGAGGAGCCCTTTCGTCAATAATTTGCCGCCCCCGGCGGCGCCGGCGACGACGCCTATGTCCGCCTCCCGCAGGAACGGTCGCAGGAGCGCGGCGACGGCCGCCGCCGCCGTCACAGTCGCTACCGCGGCGGTCGCGGTTGCGGCGACTTCCTCCACGACTACGACGGTCGTCCCACCGTCGAATAACATCGTCGTTTCCTCCAACGTTGTATCCGCTTCCGTTGTGTCACCGGCGACGTCTATCGCATCGTCCTCGGTCGCCGCGGCAGTGGTAGCTGCCGCGGATTCCGGTAGCGGTCTCATATCCACCAGCGGTCAGATGTCCGCTGTCACCATGGCTGCAGCCTCGTATCGCGCGGCACTCAATGTCGCTGCCACGTTGTCTCAGCAGCAGCAGCAGCAGCAGCAACAGCAACAGCCATCTCAGCGACGGCATCATCCTCAGCAGCAACAGCCACAGCAACAGCAGCAGCAGCAGCAGCAACCACCAACTCATCCTCATCATCATCATCATCATCATAGGAATCATACTCATGCTCCTCATCAACACCAACAGCAGCAGCAACAGCAGCAGCAGCAGCAGCAACAACAACAGCAGCAGCAGCATCACCCCCAGCAACAACCTCAACAACGACCCGTAACACCAACGGCATCCGGTCCCGCCGACCTCATCTCCGCCGACGAGAAGGCAGTCATATCAGGTATTTATCAACATTACTTCCGCGCCATGCGCGCTCACAATCATCAACACCGCCAGCAGCAGCAGCAGCAGCAGCAGCAGCAACAGCAGCAACAGCAACAGCAGCAGCAACATCGTACCACTACCACTCATCAGCTCCATCATCAACCTCACCAAAGCGATCGAAGTTCCTCCTCTTCGTCGTCGGTCACGTCTCCGACGTCCGCGTCAATCTCCGGTATTCTACGACAGACTTATCAGCAGGCATACAGCAATATCGCAGCCACGAGCTCGAGCTCGGGCAGCCATCATCGTGCCGGCACATCGGCGGTCTCGGCAATCGCCCATCATCCCTACAGGCGACCGTCGGTGACGTTGCTGTCGCGAACGGCCTCGCATATCGGCCAGCAGGTTTCCTCTTCCTCCTCCTCCTCATCCATCTTCGGTGCTTCCAACGGCGTTTCTGCCGCGGCTGGCGTCTCCAGCGTATACGCGAGCACGATACACAGGCATCACGCAACTTCCCTGCACGCTCTTCAAGCCGCCGCCGGCTTCTACGAGACGCCGAGTTATCATGCCCTCCTGCCTCAAAGTTAGACGACAGCCAGATGTCCGGGCGGTTTCGCGACGTTGGATGTCTACGCGTGAACGACTACGGCAACGGCAACGGCAATGCGGCATCGAGCTGTCGCAAATCGAAGCGAACGTGCGTCGAATTTCGATCTCGGAGACTATTCGCGAATCGTCCTTCTTCCTCCGTTCTTTATCGGGCAATCGATAGAAATCGAGAGAGAACTCGATGAGAGAGGAAGTTGAGTCGAGACGTGACCTCCGTCAGCGAGAGCTGTCAGTTAGGAATTAAAAAGATGCTAGGAATTTCTTTTTAAAGGCTTTTTCTTGATATCTCAATACGCGCGTTTTGCTGATAAAGCATAATTCATAACAGCATCGCGAATAATAAGAACTTGTTCAGCAATCGTCCAACGACGATCAGATTCAATACAAAACCTCCAATATCCTCGTTGTCGATTGTCGTTTACGCCGAGTATCCCCGACGTGTAGATTATATACAGACTATCATTTTACGCAGTAATTTACGTAGACGATGCATAGTCGGCATAGGCGACACTTATTATGGCTGTGCTCTGTCCTCCTTTCCTCTTCTCTTCTTTCCCATTGTGTTTGAGGAAACCTATACTTTATAACGTGATAATTTATAGCTGTCTTGTAGTTCCGACCGTTTTACGGTTTATTATTTTCTCGTATTCTCATATTCTCGCATTGGAGGAAGTTCGATTGATAATCGTAATCAACGAACGTTATTGCTTTGACTTTTGTTTGCGGAAATGTGTAATTTATATAGTTCTCGCAGAAATAGATGCGAGAAGAGAGAGGATTCGCATCACAAGGCAGAGAAAGCGCGTGGTATCTTTACGCGATTGCATATGCGAACAGTTTGCGTTACAGAACAGCGAAAAGAGAAGATCAGGCCTTTCTAACCGAGAATAAGATGCGATGTAATAGTCCCCTCCCCGATTAAATTCGAAGAAACGCTAAAGACTTGGGTATACAAAGAGTCCTTTCGCACACGGTTGATAATCTCAAGTAATTTCCTTCGGTCCCCTTTTTTCGACCCGAACGATCCTAACGCAGACTTTGATGTAGATAAACAGATATC